AACCTCTCGTCAATATGCGTTTTTCGCATTGCATTGCTGCAAAAAACGCATAAAAATGCATAAAAATCCCCACCCAGAAGCACTCGGGAGTAATCCCAAGAAACTACTTGGTGATGATCTATTCTCTCTGGATAAACAGTGTTGCTAATTTGGACAAGTACCGTACACAGATGTGCTAGAGTCATGTGATAAGCTTCAGTTAACCTCAGAAGAGAGTTCCAGTCAATTAGCAGTGATTGGTGATAAATTTTTTGATGATATTCCGGAAATCCCCAGCCAAAGGGAACCCCCCATTATATTGCATTTATCAGTGTGACCACACGCTGGTAAAACTGTCAACAGTAGCGTTCCAAAGGAATACGCAGAAGCAGGTTGACGACGGCCTATAACTTATGCCAGTACCAATTTACCACTGAAACTAATGAACGAATCATACAGGCTTGATTTTTGTATCGTGGATCAAACCTTAGGCGTTTTCAGCCTAAAATTTGCGCAATTCGCTATTGCGCTAAATGTTTCAGAAATTTTAAAGATACTATCACTGGCTAGGGGATCGAATTTTGACAATTAATGACGAATAATCTAAACTTACGAAGACTAAAAAGCGGGTTCCTTTTTTCAGGCATACTTACCGATATCAGGAAGAGGTGTACTACATGTTGGATCCGTTCAGGAATCGAAGCAAAATCGATGAGAGACGCTTAGCTCCAGTGAAACGTGGTATGAAAACGGGCAAAGCGGGGAGCAAGAAGCCCAGCATATTGGATATATTTGTTTTAGGCGCATTATGCGGCTCATGTGGACGGGCTGTTTGTATTGATGAGGTATGTTTTTAGGCTAGTCATTGCACTGTCAGCTGCACCGGCCCAGGATTTTCAGTGGAGTTATTTTTAATGGCTGATCATCCCTCCGATTTTTATAAAACTTAGTTATGTATTGTTCTCATACAGTTCCTGTTTGGTCTGTCGCGTTTTGCTTGAAAATTTCTAGCATTTTCTATCGCATAAGCAAATAAACACAAAAATTGGCCCAAAATCAGACCAGCAAAATAGCAAAAAATATTTCCAGAAATCAAAAAAAGAGGGACAACAGATTCCCTTTTATCACAATACCACAAATTCTAAATATCTTTTATTAAAAAATAAACTATCTTTTTGCAGTTTTGTAGTGTCTTCTATTCAAAAACTTTTTGTACAACATGTATTATCAAGGAAAAGGCCCACTTCCCAAAGGAGATCGTTCAGGTAATTCCTTTTTTTTCCCTTTAATTAACTGAATGGGAAAAAATGCTGTATTTTTTTTAATGCCAAATTCTCGATTTCCTGAAAAATCATTTCCTGAAAAATCATTTCCTGTAGTTTTGTAATTGTTAGTGTTAATTTTTCTTTGGTAATCAATACTTTTGTAGCAAGTTGAAGCGGCACGAAAGTCGCGGCGTCCAGTGGAAAAACCGGAAAAATCATCTGACAACTGATTTGTTAGCTTTTTTTTTTAATATAAATGCTTCATTTTAGGTGCAGTTCCTTGTACTGTATACAGTGTTATCGAATGTTAATTAGTTCGTTTCTGGCAGATAGTTGCGCACCGAAAAAGCTCGAAATGTTATTTAGATTGGAAAAAAAATTCAAATTTTTGTGATATGCGCTACTTTTTGCTGTTGAATTTGGACAGATCTTGAGGGTTTCTACGAAATCGATTAGATCATTGTGGTGAAAAAGACATCACGCGGGTCTGGGAAAGCGGAGACGAGCAGCGATAGGGGTTGCTGGAAGACAATCATCGGTCAAAACGGGTTCTAAAGCATTCTTGCCGCCAGGCGGATCTGACACGCAGCACATGATGGGTTTCACTTCTTTCTGCTCCCCAAAAAGCTTCCTGCTTTGGCGATCGCTGACAGAACACCTGAGCGGCTAAGCAATTGGAAAGCGATTTCTTTTAAAATCGTATTATTTTATCTTTTTTTTT